TATGGCTCTCCATATTGCATTCAGATCTGCTTTCCCCCAGCCACCACCTGGTCTGAAGTAAAGGCCAGAAGAGGACCCAGAGGACTGGACACTCTCTTATTATGAGCTGCACCAAGACACCTCTGGGTTTCTAAGCGCTTCCTCTGACAGTGACTGATGGCCAATTAACCATTTGGAGAAGAGTATTGATCATTTAGAGAACAGGAAGGATCTGGAAACATCTCCTAACACACCACTATTCTCACTGTACAAAGTGAGCAGCCAGACAGCACATCATCTGTACTAAAAACAAACATTACAAACAACGACATCCATTTTCACACAAATACTAGCAAGCACACACCAAATATGTTTTCTGGTTAACAATAGCCAGCAAAATCATGGCCAAGAGAAAAATACAGCAAAGTGCCTTTGGCAGCATTAGTATCATCTATTGTGACTGGCTTCCAGGACATCAACCTCAACCTTCACATGTCCCACATTCTTTGCTGAGGTGAATTTTTTTTCCCAGCAAGAAAACACAGTGGCATCCAAGGTTCAAGGTCAACATTACATGTTCTTTCTCTCCATGAGAGTGTAAGAGAGAGAGAAAGAGAGATAACCCAAGAAAAAAGAACATTCGATTAGACCCTCCAGGAAAAGACTCATCTCAACAAGCTCAATCCCTGACTTCTCATTGGTGGCCCTTGGATATATGAGGCAGAGTACTGGCACAAGATGGTTAGCAGCAACAGAAACACAACAGTAGAGATTGAGGACAACTGCTGATACATTGTCAGATTCTGTGGCTTTCTATGAATTATGGTCCAGGTCCCCGTTGAAACATAGGGTAATCCCATCCCACATCAGAGGTTAAAGGTCAATTCCATGCTACCTAGATAGAAAAGCACACATAGCGACAACGGTGCAACGCATTTCAGGAGGGAAACAGCCCAACTTCATCCCCTAAGCGCTCTCACATAGACCTGAATCATAGAAATGGGGTAATTGAAACAAAAGGGCAGAGTTTGACAGAGATGTAGTGCCTTTGCAGGGCCTCTGCACAGACTGCAGAAAATAACACCCAACTCCTCCCCTCTGCAAGGTTCATCCTCCATGTGTCCTCGGCAACGCCTGTGTCCTTCCTTTACTTCTCAAGATTGCCATTTGCAAATGATAAGTGCAGGGACATAGCCTTCTGATAGATAAGGAGACTGGGAATTTGTCACCAAATGGAGCGTGTGCCTCCATTGTTTAAAGCTGACCTGTGTTGACGTGCACTGTTTACCTTTTATTCATTTATGCTGAACTATTATCTCTGCCTCCATTAATCACGGTAACTTGAAGTGAAGAAATTACATTTTGCAAGAATGGAAGGAAGGAAGATTTATTCGATTCATCTGCATTCTTTCTTTCCAACAAATGAATATGACGGAAAGTGAATAAAAAATGCAATACATTTGATCAGTTCTGTCCTGCAAATAATCAATTCCAACACTCTTTTTCATTATGATGTCCAATTAAAATTCTGTAAGCAGCAGAAAATTCATAACAAGCATTTGTACTCCTAAGGAGTGAAATCATTTTAATTTTTCCCCTACTTTTTTTTCTTCTAAAGTGTAATTGCCTCCTTGCATGATATATTCTGCATTTGTACATCATGCTAATTTACTGGGTAAGTATCAGCAGTTGAGAAAATAAATAATTTTATATAAAATTTCCCTCCCCTAGTGCACAAGTCTTCCCGTTGTCTGTGTCATTTGAATTCATCTCTCATGACTAGAGGGAACAAAAACTCTTTCTGGTAGTAAATTATCACTTCCCTGTAAAAGACCATATCCCTGCAAAAACATGGCGATCATTTGCCATGCATTAGCTATGGGACAGAAACGAAGTGGTTTTAAATTCCTTTGACCAGAAGGCAATTTCCCCCAATAAATTATGTTAATTTCTGCTTTCGCTCTCCTTATCGCATTCTTTAGTGAGTCAATGAGGAGAGACAAAACTGGCTGCGAGAAAGACAACTCTGGAATGATTCACATTAGAATGATAAGAGACGTCTGGCCCAAAAATTTCTTATATTACTGTACCAAGAAATGGGACCTGTATTACTGTATTATGCAATATATTTCTGCTTGTTGTCATTTAATGGCCATCTCCTTGCATCACCACAAGGTTTAAACCCCGTGGAAATTGCTCTGAGGTGACTGTTCACACAAGTACATGGAAGGTGCCTGACACCAAATCCCATGCTCCCTAGCTGAACCAGACAACAATTGCTTGGCAACGCTCTCATTGGGCAGAGGGAAAAACAAAGAAAAATACAGGGTTTTTTTTTTTTATTCTCTCTGCATGTGTAGCTGGATTTTGGATGGTCTTTTCTTGAGGAATTAACAAGGGACTAACAAGTGGCAACAGACTAACAGGAAAGTTTAAACAAAAGGCAAACAGAAGCAACAGGAGTTGGAATAATCTGCAGACATAACACCTAACATGTACACACGCAGCAAAAATGCATGTATGCAAATCCTTGTGGAAACACCAACTCTCACTCACCCTCTCGCTCTATCTCTCTTACACACACACACACACACACACACACACACACACACACACACACACACACACACACTTCGCACACTGAAAACATCAAGTGGTGTGCACACACACAGGCAAAGCAGTAGCTACGGTTCTTTGTTCCTGAGGCTGAAAGTGTACCTACCCCCTCTGTCCGGCCCGTCAGATCATTCACAATACAGTGAAAAGGGAAAGTGCTCAGCTAGCTCAAATCTAGATTGACAGGCCTACCTTTATTACTGACTGAGTTATGTTTCCCTGCAAAAAAGACAAGTCTGCTTTTGATGCAGACGAATGCCGAGTCAGCGCCTTACCTCACTACAGAGGATAGCTCGACTGATCTCATCTGAGACTGTCCCAGCCCTGATGTAGAAAGAATTGGCTACCAAATTACCTTTCCGATCCATTTCTGGAACTCACTCTGTCCTATAAAAGTAGCCTGTAAGCTGTGATGGGAGGTTATAAGGATGCTTGTCCTGACCTAATATATGATAGAGAGTGACAGACTGAAACAGAGAGAGGGGGATGCCTATAAACGTGATACAAACAGAAAAGAATAAAACTGATTTTACTTGTATCCCTGAATGGATCTACTTCATGAAGCGGCTCGTTGCTATTCAGGGTCACTAAAGGGCTATAGGAGCCTATCCCAACATGCATTGAGTGAAAGGCAGGAGGAACAGCCGGGACAGAGCTTCCTTCTACCACTGAGTGAACAAAGAAACAAACAATTACACACCTATGGTAATTTTGTTTCTTAACATTCATGTAATTACAGGAAGAACATGCAGCCTCTACACAGAACCAAGGCACCGAGTAACTTGAGGAAACAGCACCTAACCACTGAACCACCACACCACCCATACACCAGCAACCCAATCAAAATACAACATGCATCATAAAATGACTTGTAAATATCACTGCACTGCTACTTACTTAGCTTGATATATGACGTCCCTGGAGCATGACTGTTTATTTAATCCTAATATATTCATAATTATACACTAATTAATGCAAGAGAAAAGCCCTCTTAATTCATCATCTCAGTGTCCTGAAGCAAGAGACACAATTACACCAACTTTAACATGTTTGCCTTCTGTCCAAAGCAAGGTTAACAGTTTGGAAACAAGCGCAAGGCAAATGATGTGTGAAAGTCTTGTGTTTTGGATACTCACCAGCAGCTTCCAGCTGTGTGGCATTGTCAGGATGATATTTAGCATAAGGGAGACTGAGTAAAGAAAGTGTTTTAAAAATAGCCGAAGAGCTGAACTGTGAAATGGTGCATTATGGGCAACAGGGCAATTGATTGCATTGATTAAATCACTGATTTGACTGGCTTGACTGTTCACCACCAGGGACCTGTAATATTAAGGGTCAATGGCCAGCAGTGTTTTATGTTGGATTGTCATAAAAAATTAAATGTCATTCACACAAATAGCCTGTTACTGTTAAATACAATTATTGGAGGATATTTGATTATTGACATGAAAAATATAATTAAGTAGAAAAGGAAATCCTATTATAGGCCATCTTACAAATAGCTTATTTGCTGCTGAGGGGAAACTTGTCTCCAGTACTTCAGCTCACACCCACTGTTGCTGATTGTTTTGTACATCAAAGCACATTTGCATGCAATCGGCAGTGTCTGGCCAAGAGGCTACATCATAAAATGTAACTCATCAGTGCGAGTAGGTCGTCTACCAACTCCGTAAAGCTGTCACCATACTGCAAATGCAGCAGGAACGAGTCCTGGTCGGAGAGAAACGTGGAGTTGAATGATCCCCCCGTTTGCAGTCGGTTAGATGGATAGATGCAGGCTCCGTAGCCACACATAGCTCACAGATTCAATAACAACATGATTAGTTGAGGTGATACTCTTCTTATATTGGAATTAGAAAAAAAAAAATGCAATGAAGGTTGTTTTATGTGACAGCATGAAAGGCAGCGCGATGTTATTCAGCATTGCATGTTATTGTTCACGGGCCCCCGTCGGTTAAAAAACATCTCCTTAAAAAGTGTGCACGTTTGCCCTCACTCCTTTCAAGCAGGTGTAGCCCCCCAACTTCACTTACAGTCACGACAGTATTGATTAAAAACAGAAAAAACTAAAACAGACTACAGACTGCACCACCTTACATTCACAACCACGAGAGAGGTGGACATTTGCCTCAAGTTTTAACCTTGGTAGACATGTTTGAGGCAACAGAGTCTCGGTGTGTGTAACCTTGAAGGTGCAGGCTAATTGATGAGTGTGAGTGCTAGCAAATTATAGAACAATAACGTGCTCAGTCACGCGCGTCCGCATTTCGAGTAAAAAAAAAAAAAAAAAAAAAGCCAGCAAACAAACTTGTCACGTGCAGCCTTTTAAAAATATATATACTTACTATTTGTGATATTTAACAGCTCAATTAACCAAAAGCATAAATTACCCTAGTGAAACTCACCAGTGCAGGTGAAGCCAGCGAACACGAGCCAGAGCACAAGGAGCGTAGCGCTGAACCTACAGCGGACAAAGGGGCCCAGAAGTAAGGGCATCTTCGTGGTTTTTTATCACTTAAGTTTCAAAAGGCAGGGAGCAGAGAAGAAACGCTGGGTACACTGAACTGTTTAAGGTCCGGAGAGTGTCCTCTGTGGCACTTAACGCCTTTATCTCAACGCCCAAGTCCTTTTTCCTCAACACATATCCTCCCGCCGTAGCGTGGCCATCTGTATCCCGGTCGTGCGTCTTCGTTGCTCAGAACAACGCATCACAGGTGTGGTAAATACAACTGCTTCCTCGCTCGCCGCCGCGGGTTGACTGTACTGTATTTGTCCGGGGAGGAGAAAAAAAAGCCGCTATCCGCTCACAACTCTCCCTCTCTCACTGAGCCGAGGAGGGAGTCCAGTTTTCTTGTTGTTTCTTGTCACTTTGCAGCCTTCCCCGCGAAAGAACACCTTCTCCAAATGCAAAAAAAAATTGTAAGAATTGGCACCAGAGGAGGAACATCTGCTTGCACAGCAATGCTGGAGTGCTGAGAGTCAGGGAAGGTATAACGCTGCGATGAGCGGAGCAGCAAAACCAGGAGCGGATCCTGCGTGCTGGCTGGGAATGGAGCGTCCTTAGCGCGCCCTGCTGTTATATGCTTTTTCTTAGGCAAACATTTACATATCTTGAATAAGCATAACCAACCACATATTGTCAATGCACGACAGAATGGAAATTATTTCATCCGTATCCTTGCAAGTGTGCTTTTCATATCTTCTGCCTTACATGAAAATGATGGATATGACATTCAGTCCTGTATGATAGGAATCAGATCGGTGCTTTGCATACAAATTCACACAGATCACATCTGCATGTCATTGAGTTTCAGTTACATATGCCTCTGCTTTGTCTTCTTTTTGTGTGTCTGCTGCAGCAAATCAGTGAGGGACAAACACAGATGAAGAAGCATGAGGATTAGCGCTCCCATGAGAGTGTACACCTGTCAGCAAACTCAGACCAGGATGTGACTTATGTTGCAGATAGCTTATTCCTCATTTACTGGGGGTGTCAGTGGAGTGATTTTCAGACTGTTCAGCCATGCCTTTTACAAGCAGACAGAATCGACAGCAGATTATTAATACACTTCAAATGGGGGGGGGGTTGTGTCTTTGTTTATCCATTTCTCCACTCCCACATAGTAGTCAGCAGAATAATAAGTGGAAGCACAGAACTGGACCACTGTCTTACCAGCTAATTATGGGGCTCATGTAGATGGATGATTCCTCAGATGGAGCCCAGCTATTATACAAACTCATTAAGTCTTCTCTCCATCCAGCATCCCTCCGCGAAAGGTCAAAGTCACGCAGGCACAATGACAGTACAGACACATGCATGCACACGCATACATGCAAACAAGCACAACCCCACAGCCATATAGTTTATGATCAAATCCTAATGGGCGCAGTGGATGTGAAAGGGGTAAAGAAGGCAGACACACAGCAGCTAAATGCAAGAGAGTGACTCAGCTTTGGTCACTTGTGAGGTTTGCTCGTAATGATCTCTCTCATTCTGCTAATCTGCTCTGTGTCCTATCAGGCAGTGCAAGCTGGTCTCTCCCAGTCACAGTATGTGCCTTTTTTCTGAAAAAGCACCCAAGCTACATACATTTCAAATGAGCATCTGAGAATATGTATATATATAAATGCACAGTCAGTTATCCTCTTACAGGGAGGGAGTTTAGCTTCAGCTGTTTTTAAAGGAATCATTAGAGTGTGTTTTCTTGCAGTGATGTGTTTGCTGAGTCAAAGCAGGGCACAACCTCTCCCACAACCTTTTCTTCCACTGATTCCTCTGGGTCCAGCATCCTATCCCCCTTGTGCACCCTCAATCAGACTACAGTGAACAATCACAGCTCTTTGGGGAGTTGACACATTCAGTTGTTCATCGATTTGTGGTGTTGTAATTAATTTTCTCTCCGTCATTGGCTTGAGTTACAATATCCTGAGACTTGAAGCAGCTTGTTCTCCTGCAATCAATCACAAAACCAAGACAGAACCAAACCATTTCTCTTGCATCATCTTGAATTATTCACGGCGGCTATGACCCAAAGAGACCAGACTCAGTGGCCGTTAAGTATTAAGAAAACACGAGGCTCATTTGTATGTTACAGATTGTTAAAGTGTTTGTGTATACCCATAAACTGCGCAATTACACTCCTGACATATGCCCCCTATAAAGACAACTGATTCGCCTGGTCGATAAGCATTGATCCAGCAAAGGTGTCCAGCATGAAATTAATATTATTTATTGTTTACAAACAACACAGAAGGTCCCTTGAGAAGGGTGCAGTGCAGCCTCTGACTGTCTGCATTCCAGCACAGAGTTGTGGAGTGAGGCAGAAAGAGAGAGAGTGGGTGTATCAACTTCCATCATGACCACAGCTTCACAGCCTATTGTTTTGTTTATATCAAATTAAACTGCAATGCTTCTCCAGAGAGATATAATTGACCACAGTCTCAGATTAAATGACTGTAAAGATCTTAATAAGCCATCAGCGGATTGCATATTACATTGCAAACCACTTATGAGGATGCAGTCCAATGAGAATGAAATTGAGGTTCAGATTTGCATGCCACAGCATTTTAGCCATTAATTACCATGCAAAATGAGTGTATGATGATCAATAGTGTATCAATTTAATTAAATATTATTGATATGGGATTAGGAAGATTAATTAGGAGCTTAACAAACCCCTGTAATGTTGGAAGAGTAGGTATTACTTTAACATCATAATATCTCCAGTGGGTCCTCCACTCTCTATTGTAGATTATAATGGATAGGAGACCCACATCTTCCCCTCGCTGTGATTCATGATACAGATGTTAAAGCACACATTATCTATGAGTACTATAAAAGCCATCATCATCACCACTGTATTAGTAATACACATAGGCTTTTACTCCAGGTTATTGTATCTGTAGCTCTCAAAACTCTCATAAAAATGTTATGATCTGGATATGCTATGCATAGCTGCAACTTTGTTTAATTAAATTATGTCACACAAGTGGAGATAAAATAGCTTCAGTGTGATCTCACCACATCTTGTGCAGTTGAGTGAAGAGCAAAACCAAATGAGAGCGAGAGATAGAGAGTTTAAAAAATAGAGATGAAAAAAGTTAGGGGGGGTGGGGGATCGGGAAATGGGGAGGGGGTGAAGGAGCCCTCTGAAGGTCTCTCATTTCAGCAGCACAGACTGCTGATGAAGCTGAACTTCCAATATCCCACTACTTCAGCTCTGACGATTTCTCAATTTTACAGATATGGCCCGAGAATGTGATTTGATGAAAATGTAAAATGGGATAACCACCAAATCATATGAAATGGGCTGCATTTTATTCCATGACTATAAATCAAAAGCAGACACTCTAAAAATTAAAGTTGATTTTGTGTGTTTGATTCGAAGTACAACTCTTCTGACTTGGAGGAAGAAAGGATGTCCTGTCCTTAAAATAAGATTCTCTCTTTCGTGCAGATTCTTCACATTCTTCCTAAGTTCAAGAGCCTGATTGTCGAAAGAAGCCCAGGCAATGTTTGAGTGTATTGCTCTAAGAGTTGTTTCAAAAGGGAATTCAAACAATTTATTCATAGAATGTGTTTCCATCCCAAATAGATTCTCCTAATCTAAAACACTGCGTGAGTGTTTGGAAATATATGATGATTTCATTTTCTTCCAGTCTCAGGGTCATAAATAAATTTGCATTCTGTCAGCAAAATGGACTAACTGACTTGTAATTCATCAAACCCGCTGCTTAATGCTTAAACAGTTCAACACATGGTAACCTGATTTTTTTTTTTTCCCACAGAATCGCCTCACAGCTGTGTGCTCTAATGGGTGAGGAGGAAGAAAAAGGAGCACTTACATTTTAAAGACGTCATAAAACAATAAAATAAAGAAGAGAAATGAACTCCATGAATGACACATTTTCATGCACTTTAATTCTGAAGAGATGCACAAGAAATGCATTTGTTTACCATTTTTGAATGTAAATGTTCAATAAGCCCAAAGAAAGACAAAGTCTATAGGTATCTAATCCTGTCTAAATGAGGTATGATTTGCTCAGTAAAGATTCATATTAAAACTCGCACGGAAATGGTACCCTATTAATTCAACATCCTGTATGCCTGACAAAGAATAAAATCATGTCTTTATTTGAACCAACTAGGCAACGTTTGATATACCTCTTCACCACACAATGGATGACAGTAAAAAGTGTCAAGCTGAACCATTTTTTCCCACAAGTTTTTTCCCCCTCTACATTTGATTATTCTTTAAAAAAAAAAAAAAAAGGAAATAAAAGAGTTTCCTGAAATATGCTTCCTGGACCGACATCCTCTTGTTGTTTTGAATGTCACATTGTCTAAGCGTGCATGGGAGAGAAGACTTTGAATGATGTTGAATGTTTTATGACTCCCTGCTTTTGTGTCAGTTCTCCCCAGTGCTGCTCTGAGACTCAGATAGGAGAACCTCGTCATCTACCGCTGCCGGATCTGACAGCGTAGGAGTAACACATAGGCTAGCCACACTTAACATTTGGGGAGCTTCATTTCAAAATGCCATCTATCAGCTTTGGGAAAATGTTACCTGGAGTTTATTACCAAAGATCAATCTTTTAGAAAAGAGAACACGAGAATAGTTTTACTTCAAAATCCAGCATATTCATTCTGTGCTGTGTCCCTTAGGGAGTCTCATAATATTTTTTTTTACTGTTTAACATAAAAATAACCTTAACATTTAGCCAATTTCCCACCAGCCATGCCATCAGTTACTGTTTATTAAAAGAAAAGAAATACTATCTATGATTACAGATGCTATTGTAGTGATGGAAAGTAACACATTTTGAGATGTTTGTGCGTACAGCCCCACATTACAGTTGCAGGTGCTTGCTACCTTAAATATAAAAATGTTCCATATAAAATATTATAAATTAGGGTTTTAACTTTCTTCATCGTCCATTCATCTGAAATTCATTTTCTTAATGAACTGAGGAATCATTGGGTCTATTAAATGTCAGAAAATAGGGGAAAATACCCATTGTAATTTCCTAGACTCCATAGGGACATCTTCAAATGTCTCCAAAACAGAGAAAGCAGCAAATTATCACAACAGAGAAGCTGCCATTGGAGAATGGTTGGGTATTCTGTTGTAAAATAATCAATTATCAATAAATAGATGCCAATATAGCTCTGTTTATCAACTAATCCTCTGAGTGCTTTGACATTAATACCCAATTGTATATGAAGTAGTTAAAATGTCCTGCCACATAAAATGCTGCTTGATGCATCAGTGGCAATAAATTAATGATATACAAAAATATAATTACATTAACAAAGGCAGTTGGTAGAGCTGGCGTCCCATGTACCGAGGCTGAGTCCTTGCTGCAGCAGCCCAGGGTTCGAATCTGACCTGCGGCCCCTTGCTGCGTGTCATCCCTTCTCTCTCTCTGCCCCTTTTCCTGTCTGTCTTCAGCTGTCACTATCAAATAAAGGCAATAAAAGCCAAAAAAACACTTAAAAAAACACAATACAAAGGCCA